ATTTTCGGTAAGGGGTGGGTTAAAGTCTTGGTCCCCCACCCAGGTGGTTGATACCTATTTAGAATATCAAAAAAAAGAATATAACTTTAGGGCTGGGGATTTAATTTAGCTCAGTGGAGCTGCCACCTGCCTTGCAAGCACAAGGTCCTGAGTTCAGTCTCTGGTACCCTCCCTCCCCAAAAAAGAAAAAAAAAGAATAGAACATCAGTCACTGCTATTTATCCTTAAGAGAAGTACTGGGTATAGTAGTTTTTCTCTTTTTATATGCTGACCTTCAGTGAATGTGTCTCCATTGACCTTTATATTGACTCCTGGAGGGCCGATCCTGTCTAACTGCATACAAGATATCTAATTAACTTACCTATCTACAATAGTAGATCTACAAAGAATTTCTGATTAGAGGTCTCCTCAAAATCAACTATGGCTATAGACCCAGAGGAATGCTTGTAAGTCAAAACAAAATGAAGTAATTAAACTGGTTCACTGAAGACAGATCTAAGATTACCCAGGATTCCTTGGAGGAGATGGTGATGTCCATGGACAGGAGCATTGACGGTTTCCCTTGGCCTCTTCAGTAAATGAAGGTTTTGGCTGGCCTAGCCCCTCTCTGCAAGTGGGAATAGTCAAGCCTCCAGTGCCATGAGTCAGATGAGTTAGCTGTCTCATATCCAGAACAGGGCCCGGGCGGGGGCTTGGTACAATCTTGTACCCAGTGTCTAGTCTTCTTACACTTGAAACAGAACCCTTTTCCCTGTTTATCCCTAGGTTTTTCCCCAGACAACCTGGGTGGGTTTAAAGCTTTGCCAATAAGTGGACATGGTGGTGCACGCCTGTGATTCCAGCACCTGTGAGGCCGAGGCAGGAGAATCACCGAAAGTTAGAGGCAGGCCTGGCCTACCTAGAGAGTTCAAGGCCAGACTGAACTACATAGTAGGACCTATCTCAAAAAAACCAAAAAATAAATAATAAAGCATTGTCAATTTTGACAGCTATTATCTTAACCTTTCTCTCTTGTCCCTCCTCTGGGTTCGGACTGTTCAACACAGAAAGGGCTGTATCCAACAATTGGGCTATAGATGTCTGTGGGCCTATCTGAAGGTTTTGTAGTCTACACCAAATATCTGGGGCTAGTTGATGTCCCACTAGTGCTTCTCCCTCCCTGGAAGATGTATCTATATTAGTGTACTTACAGAAAACTGAACACACTTTTTTTTTTTTTTGGTACCAGGGATCGGACTCAGGACCTTGTGCTTGCAAGGCAGGCCTGGTACCACTGAGTTAAATCCTTGGTCTCTTGTGCATTTGTTAACTGAAAAGGGGACCTGATTTATTGGCCTGGGGACTATAAGGAAGAGGTCGAGGTGACCTGTCAGTCTAATCAAACAGGTCACAGAGGCCCACATCCCCCTGAGAGATACATGGGGGTCTCTGGATGGGGTCATCCAGTTATCTTTCTTCTCTTAGGGGGTCACTCTAAACACCATAGCTCCTGAGCATTTCCTCTGATAAAGAGTCACAAAGCCCAAACACAAGGTGTTTCATCCCACCTTGTATGCTTTGAGCAGAAACCCTGTAACTGGAGAACAGTGTTACAGTTGGAAGTACCACCCCATATCCATCTCTTACCATGTCCCAGTTTTTACTGAACCCAAACTGTATTGCAGTAGTAGATATGCTGTTCCTGTTTTAGATTGTCAGGATCAAACCTCTCCCACTCATCAAGCATATGGTCTAGTGGCAAAGCCAGTGAAATCTACATGGTGGCAAGGTCCAAGAGGTTCCCATCTGCTCAGCTTTTGGCCAGTAGAGAGAAGGAGACACCTAGGTCTTGACTCCATAAGATGGCGTCCCACGCAGAAGGAGATCTGAGGGTTCCACAAAGCATCCTTTGTGAGATCCTAACACAGGCTACACAGATATCTCTGTCTGTGTGATGTTGGCATCATTAGGCACAGAAGAACTGCCCCTGGGCAGGGAGGCTTTTGTCTCCATATTGGAACCCACTGACTCATTAGGGAGAAGGGGGCAAAGCCACTTATTGGCCTTACCTAGTCCTCTAACTCCCATGAAGTAAGGGTGGAACTTCTCAAAGCAAAGGTCCCTTACTTACTTAGTTGAACCACTTGATGGCCCAATTGGCATTTCAAGTTCCTTGATGACTCTACTTGTATTCTAAGCCCTTTGATGGCTTAGCTGGTATTTTCAGTTCCCTGATGACTCTATTTAACCAGAATAGAGCCAATTGGGAAAATCATCTCTTGCATTTACTCCAATAGTTTAAAAACAAACAAACAACAACAAAAAAATAACCACTAAGAACTGGGATGGCTCTGCTTTTGTATTTCACAGTCTCTTTAATTAAATTTTTTTTGTTACCAGGATGGAACTCTGGAGCTTGAGAGGCAGGTGCCAGAACCACTGAGCTAAATCCCCAGCCCTCTTTAATTAAATTTTAAACGCTGACTATTCATTCTGCTCAGGTCATCAGGCATAGGGTTTTTAATTATCAACATTTAAACAAGGAAGAAATCAAGCCAGGAAGCTATAGCCTCAAGTGAGATGTAAGGCAGGAAGGAAACAAGTCAGCTAAAGCTGGCTTGAATAGGCCCTCCCGCCCTTTGCCCCACCCCAGCAAAAGCCTTGGGTATTTCCTTTTTAAAGGGACAAATTTTTCTTTTCTGTGTGGGGAAGAGCCACTGTGCCAGTTAAAATAATTGAAAGAGAAAAGAGGTTCCTCCCTCTTGTTCTCCAAAGTCAGAGGCTTAGCTCATAAGGCCAGTTAGTAAAAAAAGAAATAGATGGCAGTGGTTGACATAAGCCCACATCTAGCAGCATGATTCCATGCAGACTCTAAGCCTATATATCAGTGCCACACACAACCAGGGTGGGGCAACCTTAATCCCAGCACCACCACAAGACAAACTGAGAAATAAAAGCCATTTACAAAACTGGAGTAAGGGGCTGGGGATTTGGCTCAGTGGTTTCGCCACCTGCTGCGCAAGTGCAAGGACCCGAGTTCGATCCCCGGTACCAAAAAAAAAAAAAAAAACTGGAGTAAGTGGAGACCAGGTTAATTTCCAGGAAGAATGTAGCAAACAAATACATGGACCACAAGGCATACCACAAGAAATAAAGAAAAAAAATAAAGATCTACAGTGGCTGGAAGAAAAAAAAATCTCATTCTCCTCCCCATTCCCCACAGCCAGAAAAGCAACAGGCAGTTGTCTGTGTGCCTTGAGAAGAGTCCCCTGAATTCCTGGCCTAGGGGAGAGAGTGAGGGAAAGGAGAAAAGAAAAGCCGTAAGCCTTCGTGACATTTTAGAGAAAAAAACCAGAATGTGTGCCCACTGGGGCCTTCTCTAGTCTCCTGGCTCGCTATGCCAAATACAGTGGTACCCCGGATCACGAATACTTTTGTTTGCAAACAGTGTGGTTCCCAAATAAAAGCATTTGGCAAAATTTTGGTTTTGTTTGTAAACTCTGCATCATGACAAACACAACCACATCCATCTTTCCCATATGAATATGAATTTGACCATTTTTTCCAGAATCATGGAATGAATTAAGTTCATGAACCAAGGTATCACTGTAATGTTTCTGGAATCTCCTAGTTTTTGATTCTCTTGGCTGGCTAACCAAATAGTGTTACTGAATAGCTCCTTCTAAAAGGGGTTCACCAAATGAATGTTGGTGGGTTTTGTGGTGCTCGAGTATCCTCCTGGAGTTAGATTCCAGGTTCTTCTCATCTCAAAGGATTAAACAAAAGGGAAAACACAGTGACAACGTTTATTTGCAAAAGTAAGAGTAAGAATGAGGGAGAAACTGGCTCTGCAGAGCGAGTTTGGCCCAAGTAAAAGAGGAAAAAGCAAGATAAAAGTACACCCTGGAGGAAGAAGGGCGGGCTATCATGAGGAAAACCAGGATCGTGAGCTCTTCTTGGTGCCTGTGTCATTTTATGCTGTCCAAATGTTGAGGAAAAGTTGCAGAACTTCTGCATACTGGTCCTGAGAGGTGGTGCTGGGATCCTACACCTCAGGCTGATGTCAGGTCCAGGCATCCTACTGAAAACCTGCTGGAGTTCTTGCGAGAAGTCCATGTGCAGGACTCTAGGAACTGTTCTGCGCATGTGTTCCAGGAACTTGTAATTAACAGGCCAGCCTACTTTCCTGGCCAGGTTTTCCAGGCCCTAATCTCCTGTCTCAGGGTGACAAGCACAAGGGTATGTTTGCTGGCTTTGACATTGTTGAAAATGACCCTAAAAATAGCATTAGGAAGGTATAACAGCCAAGAAATACAATTAAGGGAGAATAAATGGAATAGATCAAAGGTAAAGGCAGAGAAAAGAGAGACCTGGTGTGCAGTTGATACAAATGTCTGTAAAATAAGACTCAGACTAATATACATAAAGATTTTTCTTTGTTTTCAGGTAACTTCTTTTGTTTTGTTTTGTTTTTCTGAGATAGGGTCTCACTATGTAGTCCATGCTGGCCTGGAACTCATGGCAATCCTCCTGCCTCAGCCTCCCAAGTGCTGATATTACAGGCATGTGCCTCCACGCCCAGCTCAGGTGATTTCTACCTGCTGTGTACAATGATATAACACAGAACTATTTATCTGAGCTGTAAAAGACATGCAGAAGTCTTCTGATTTCTTTTGTGTGATTTCTGGTGTTTTTTGCCCCCACGCTCAAATACCAATGGTATTTTTACACATTGTCTCCTTCTTTGTGGATTTACATATTTTTTGACTTTCATATTTTACCCAGGAAAAGTATTTATTAGGAGATTGGATTTAATTTTCTAAGCATTATGCCGAATGAATTTCTTTACCAGATACCACAATATCCTAAGTTGCCCCCGAGCATTGTGAAGATGGATTGATTATGATTGCCAGCATCTTAATATCAGAGCAATAATAATATCATTATGGAACAAAACCATATTTTCTTTCCTTTTCAAACATATGTTTAGAAACAGCTTTTTGATGATGGAGGTAACTTACAGTCACAGCGAGAGCTGGAAGCTTGAATAAATTTGTAATCAGATGATTACAAATAATTAAAGATGAACGCTGTCAAGCTCATGAAGTGAAAGTTACTCCTACGTTTGGGAGAAAATAGAAGGATCATTAAGTAAATTACAGTCTCAGCCATGAATATATTCATCTAATTAATTTCCAATTATCCACCCTCAAGTTCAAATATTAAAAATTGATACATAATGTAGGTTTATGCTACAAAATTCATTACTTTTTATAATAGCTATCACCTAAACTTGTAGAATGTAGTAATTTTTTCTGGATATCTCCCACATTAAAAAATACATTTCAGAAACTTACTTGAGGGCTGGGAATATAGCTTCAGCAGCACAGCACCTGCCTGGCAAGGGAGAGAGGTCCTGAGTTCAATCCCCCATACCAAAACAAATTATTTTACTATTACTTAAAATAAAACAAGTAGTGAAAAGACAAGACTGTTTCTTTCAAAAAGCCAATCATGAGACTGGAATGTCTCAGTGGTAGAGTGCACACTTAGCACTTGTGAGGCCCCAGTTTCAGTCTCCAGCACCAAAAAGGAAAAACAGTTGCCAAGCAGGCTTTGAACTTTCAGTCCTCCTGCCTCAGCCTCTTGAGAAGCTGAGATTACAGGGATCCACCACCACACCCCACCTCTTTCTCTTCTTTAATGGGAATTGATTCATTCAGCAAATGTTATTTGCCCCGTTTTGTTTTGTTTTTTTGGTACCGGGGATCAAACTCGGGTCCTTGTGCTTTCGAAGCAGGCGCTGGAACCACTGAGCTTAATCCCTGGCCCTGCCCCGTTATCTTCCAGGTGTATTCTAGGTCCTAGAAAGACAACGGGAAACAGAACAAAGCCCTTGCTTTCATGCAGCTTATTTTCTAATCTACAGAGAGAGAGTATCTCAAATTTGTATTAAAAAGTGCATAATGTAACTTTAGCACCGATAACTACTATCCAAGGTGGGATATTCTGCATATTTACCATGGGTACGGTTAGCTTGACATCACATCCTCTTGTACCCCATTATACATTTGGGTTTTTTTGTTTTTGTTTTTGTTTTAGGTTTGTTTGGCTTTTTGAGACAAGGCCTATGTAGCTCAGGCCAGTCTTGAACTCACTATGTAGCCCAGGCTGACCTCAAATTTGCAGTGATTCTCCTGCCTCAGCCTCCCAAGTGCTAGGATTACAGGCATGCACCACAGTGAACCCTTTATATTTGGTATCTTCCTTCTCTGTCTCACCTCCCTTTTCTGCTCACGCCAACTTCCTTGACACTGAACTTCCCAATATATTGTTAGTTCCTCCTTGTCTCCAGTTTTGCTTTCCACAAGTCAACCATGGTCCTAAAACATTCCATGGAAGATTCCAGAAATAAACATGAGTTTTAACTTGTGTGCCATTCCAAGTAGGGTCATGAATCTCACCTGCCCTACCCCACCTAGTCTTTGTCCAGTGGTCCATACCATACAGGCTGCCTCCTCCATTGCTCCCTTAGTGGCCCTCTTGGTTATCAGATCCACTGTCAGAATATCACAGTCCTTGAGGACAAATAATACTTACTTATTTGATAATGGCCCCAAAGAGCAATAGTAGTAATGCTGGCAAACTTCATTATGGTATATTGTTATAATTGGTCTGTTTTATTATGTTATTGTTGTTAATCCCCTTTGTGCCTAATATATAAATTAAACTTTATCATAGGTATGCAAGTATAGGAAAACAGTGTATATAGAGTTCACTGCTATCGGAGATTTCAGGCAATATCTGGGGGACTTGAAGCACATCCCCTACCGATAATGGGGGATGACTGTGACCCTGCACCAGTGGTGGGGAACCTATGGCACGTGTGCTGCAGCAGCCTGTTTGTTATTATTGAACACTCTAAAAGGTTCGCCATCACTGCCCTACATACGCTCGTGCTTCCTGCTCACCCCCAATCAGAACATGGGTCTGCCTTTCCTTCTTGTGCTTGGCACTGTGCGCTTAGTTGCTGGCCCAGGGGTTCAAGCTGAGTGAGTATGCACTCAGGATCTAACACAGCAGCCATTTCCTTACCAACATAGAAGTAGAGTTTCAATAATATAGCAATGGTAGAGGCATGCTAACGTATATTGTCAACACTGGTGGGATAAAGAAAAATAAAGCAAACGCTGGGCATATGCCTATAATCCCAGCACTAAAGGAGGCTGAGGCAAGAGGTCCCAAGTTCAAGTCCCACCTGGGCAATTTAGCAAGACCTTGTCTCAAAAGAAAAAACAGAAAAAAGGCTGGGGATATAGCTCATTGGGAGGTTGTGTGTGTGCATGTGTGCGCATGTTTGTGTACATGCACCCACTCACATGCACACATGTTGATACTGCATGTAACAGCGATGTGTTGCATGACCAGCAAGCATGGGAGACTTCTGTCTGCCCCACACTGATGAGGCGCCAGTGGCAACAGACCTGAGAGAACCAGAGTGAACCTTGGCATCTTCGCCGATGCTGCCCTTTGTGTGCAGTGGACCACAGTCATTGTTTTAGATTATTGTTACAATAAGTTACTGTTTCCTGTGGGTTGAACTGGTAGGACAGACAGAGGGGTAATGTGCAACCAGAAGGACAAGCTGTAAGGGAGCAGAGGTTACCAGCAGACCCTAGCAGCCTCGCAAGTGCCCTTCTTGGAAGTTGGATCTTCCGTGAGCTTGCTCACATCTTCCAAGGCCTTGGACTGTCATTGCATCATGTTATTTTCAGCCTCTTTTCTAGCTCTATCTTTTTCTTCTTTCTGCAAAAATTTAAGTTTCTTCCATTCCAACATAGACTTTCCTGTGACCCTGATTAGCCCTTAACTTACAGTTTCACTTTCTGTGAAACCTTATACTGTGCTGCCTGTTTGCTTCATTCTTCCCCTCTCATTCTTTGATCTACTGGAACATAGCTTTCGTCCCCAGGCTTTGATGGAAATCTTCCTCTCAAAGGTTACAGAGCAGCCCTTCTTGGCCCAAGCCAAGGGCTCTCTCTGATTTGACCTGATTTGAGCATGTTGAGCCCTCCCCATTCTTGTGAAACACTGCTCTCTTTTGCCTCTATTCCATTCCGGACCTTTTTCAGTTCCTTTACGTCCACGATCTTCTTTCCTTCTGTGTTCCCTCGCCTGGTGGCTTCGCCTTCCCAGTGAACTCACTGAAAGCCTTCTTGCCTGTCATCTTTGGCCCTCACTCTGCATTCAGTCACATGTCCGAGGCGCAGCACCTCTAGAGCAGAAGCATTGGCACGCTCTTGTGCTTTCCCTCACTCTCGTCTACTTGGACTTTGCAGTGGCTTTGCACACATGTGCTTCCCTTCCTGTTCCCTTCCTCCAGCCTTTTTTCTGTAGTCACTGGTATTTTTGTTTGGTGTTGGTTTTTTGGTGTGGTAGTAGGGATCAAACCCAGGGCCTTAACACTAAGCTACATCCCCAGCCCTAAGTCACCAATTTGCCCAAGCTGAGCTGTTATTTGTGATCCCCCTGCCTCAGCCTCCCAGGGCTGGGATCACAGGTATGCACCGCCACGCCTGGCTCCTTGGACTTATTTTTTTTTTTTTTTGTACCGGGGATAGAACTCAGGACCTTGCACTTTCAAGTCAGGCTTAGTGCCACTGAGCTAAATCCCCGGCCTGGACTTTTCATTTTTAAAAGTGGAGTACCCCAAAAGCTTCTCTTTTTCCTCCTGTTTTCTAAAATGACCATAAAAGAATTTTTAAGAGTTAACCCCAAAGGATAAAACAAATGAGAGAAGAAAAAGAGATTTTAATGGATTTATAGAAGATGGAAATTGGGAGGAAGCATGACAGTTGATTTAACAAGGTAGAGGAAGTAGTGAATTAAGGAACAAAAAATCAGAAATACTAGTGAAAGCAAGCTAATTAGCCTCCGAAGAAACTCCAGGCTCAGTGCTTACAGGCACACTCTGCACAGTGGCAGGAGACACAGGACCCAAGCCTGCACTCAGAGTGGCCGGACCCCCAACCCCTGCCCATTTCACAGCCACTGCTAAAAAGATCCACAGAAACTCCAGCCATCTGAGGAAAACCTGCAATACAGGCTTCGTAAAACAAATATATGGAGAAAAAGATCCAGGAAAAAATAGGGCTGGTGCAGGAAAAATTTTTAAATAATCATACTTATAAGAGTTTACATCCTCAAAGAACAGCGGAAATGTGTATGTATATTACATATTATTATGTTTAGATTTTTTTTTTTTTTTTGAGACAAGAGTCTTACTGTGTAGTCCAGGCTGAAGCTAACTTTGAACTCACTGTGTAGTCTAGGCTGGTGTCAAACTTGCAGCAATCCTCCTGCCTCGGCCTCCCAAGTGCTGGGATTACAGGTGTGTGCCACCACACCTGCCTACATTTAGATCTAAAATGTCCCCCACAATCTCATGTATGGGAAGGGCGTTGGGTCACAGTGGTGCTGTATCACTAGCGGATTCCCCCATTTGCGAGCTCAGTAGCCAGATGTCCTGTCAGGAGGCGTGGCCCAGAAGGAAGTGTATTTGTCCTGGCCCTGCCTCTCCCACCCTGCATCTTGGCTGTGTTAGGGAAGCAGATTTCCTCACACCAAGCCCTTCTGCTGTGGCCTCTGCTTGGAGCCACAGCCTTGGTGGACTGAGATCACTGAACTGTAAGCCAACACAAAGCACTCCTTTCTCAGTTGTGGGTCTCAGGTATTTCTTACAGTGACGGAAAAGCTAATAGATACATTATGTCTTATTTGTAAAAACTGTCATTAATTGATTTATGTACTTTTATACAAGAACTTTGTATATGTATTTATGTATAAACAAGCTCATGGAAATGGAACAAACTTACGGAAGGTAGAATGAAAAGAGATCAAGATAAAAATTTGAAAAAATTCAGAAAAGTCAATTAACATTAAGTCTGAAAAAGAAAACAGAAGCCATTTATCAAAGAAATAAACAGGAACTTGTCTGAGAGAAGAGGACGTGATCTGAAGCATGCCCCAAACAAGGAATGAGACCACACACTAAGATGCACATTGTTTGTTTTGCGTTTGTTTGTTTGCTTGTGACAGGGTCTCTGTGTAGTTCAGGCT